GAACTGTTGCATTCGTGGACAATCTCAAATGTACCTCGCCAACGTTGGAATTGCTTTCAAATTCTACACCGAATGCAAGATTCTCGGCCTGCTTGTGATAGTAGGTGAAATGAGCACCTTAACTCGAGATTCATTCGGTTCGAAAGAAGACAGGTAAAAATTAAACAATTGAACATGCAATACAATCATACCTGAAGAGCCTAGAGTTGCTGCTGCTGTCCAAATCGGTGTGGTATAACGAGCTCCATATGACAACATGGACACTTGTTGGCCTGGAAGATAAGAATTATGTGGTAAATTCAGGTACTATGGAAGTCGTTACAGAAGGATTGATGTAAACCATCAAAAATATGGACTGTGCATACAAACATTACAATAGTAGTAGCCCTGGTCGTGCTTAGGTGTTAAGAATTTTTATTGTTATTGCTTTCATCGCATTGGCACTGAAACGCACACTGAAGACATATGAATACACAACCGGTTTACCATATTTGACAAATTCAAGGGGAGCGCGAAGCACCCGCATGTAGGAGTTTTCTAAGCCTTTTTCCACAACTGAGAGGCAACCGAGCGCACTACCCATATGCGCCCATGAAAACGCCTACGGGCGCATGCATCGCCGGTCCGACCGTAACGATACGTGATGTAACGTCGAATACTCAGGCAAGTCTGACGATCGATACGCATCGAATGCTGTGCGACAGTTACGATCGTTGCTGTCGGACGACCGACTATGCATGCGCCCTATGCCATGAAAAGAAGGATCTCAATCGACAGAAATATCACCTCCAAACTTACTATCAAACGACATAGGAAAAGGAAGCAAATTTCGGCGCCCGACATAAAAAAGGAAACCTTGATGACTAAGTATCTAGAAGAACGAGTTAAAGAAATGGAACAAGCTTCTTTATTATAATTGACTAAGCAGCATGCAGCTAAAAGGAAGCAAGGCTTTGGCTTACGACAGCTGTAAGAGCACAAACAAACGCAACGCTTGAGACATGCTATAATACTGCAAGAAAGCACGAATTATCAAAGTAAAAACAATACCTGGAATTTGTTTTCCATACTGATAAAGAATTTCTGCGCCGACGTCAAGTCTATTGGTCAGCTTCCGCAACATCTGACCAACAATTACGCCGCTCTCGTTGACGAGATCAGTGTTGGCAAATGTTAAACCAAACGTAGTTAAACGACCTCTGAAAAGTTAAACACTAAATGCGTGGTTACAACAATATGCGAAAAATCGTATAGTTATGGTCGATTGACTGATTGGTTTGATTTTGACAACACTGTGATCGAATTGCACTCTGAGGGAATAATTTCTGACAGCCGAGCCTCACCATGAATGCTTTATCACGCTTTGATGGTTAGAGCACCTTTTCACTACATTTTTTTCTGGTGTATGGGAGAAGTAAGATTAGAAGACCCAAAAGCCACCGTTACAGTCCGGTATTCTCGAACTCTGATTGGGCGTGTCACCGGAAATGACGTGGCAGCCATCGCACTTGCTAGATGCCACGTGGATAAGATACTCCGCCAGATATCAGCGCGAAGCATGCTGGAAGCAGCTTATCCGCGCAATTTCTATCAAGTGCGGTGGCTGCCACGTCATTTTCCGGTGACACGCCCAATCAGACTTCGAGATTTGGAGTGTAGTATAACCTGGCTTCCCCTTAATTATGTACTAGTCATTGAGAATATTTGGGATCCCTTCACAACATAAGTTCAGTTGACTTAGCAACCAAGGTTCCTATATATGCCATGACTTGGAATTACAGTCGGTATCTCGAACTCTGATTGGGCGTGTCACCGGAAATGACGTGGCAGCCATCCACTTGATAGATGCCACGTGGATAAATACTCCGCCAGATATCAGCGAAGCATGCTGGAAGCAGCTTATCCGCGCAACTTCTATCAAGTGCGGTGGCTGCCACGTCATTTCCGGTGACACGCCCAATCAGACTTCGAGATTTGGACTGTAAGTCCCACTTTCAAATAATTACAGCTACCTTATTCACATACGGCACACGATACGAAACAATGAGTAACCCAGACCAAAATATTCGTTCGACAATGCTCTTAAATACCTTCTTTCAAGCCCTCCTTGAGCTCCAACGATTTTGTTTTGCTGTACTTGAGCCTGCACGCGTAAACGGTAATTATCCCCTAGAAATATAATATTACAAAACATTCGAAACACAAACGACGTTGGGCAATAGTTAACCAGAACAATTCTGACCGAATTGATGTAAAACTGTTGCAGTAGTATTTCCAGAGACATCAGTGTCTCCTAGAAAGATTGGATATTGTTCCTGTGGTCCGGCTACTTTTGTGCCGACGTATGTGGCACCAAATCGATACCCTGTATTCGTGGGAGAAATCGACAACGTGTGAGAAACCTGCAGAGTAACAAAACATCAAAGAACACCAAATTAAAATTAAATATTGAGAGGATATTGAACTAAGCCTTCAAAAAAAAACTGCAGAAACGGACACACCTGGAAATGGGAGCTGAGACCTTTGGTCACCATCACCTTAGCTCCCTCAAAACACATGGGAAAGACATCACGGGTTTTACGATGCAGCTCTTCAAAACTGCCTGAAAAATCCACTTATATCAAGCGTACCAAGGTCGAGGTTGCACAAATTAGTTGACTGCGGTACTACTTCAGGTCCGTGTTAGCACGCGATCTTCTTGTCTTATGAGGGAGGGCTTTCTGATCTTATTCAAGATCAGCTATGGCCTTTCATTTTCCTTTTGAAACACTGTCTCGAATTTGCTCAACTATTTTCCAAATAGTGTTATGAAGGCGAAGGGCGCAGCGGTGATGGTTCGCACTCTAAGGCAAAGGTCGTGGGATTTAGACTTCCGAGATATTACTCCTTGACTTTAAAAATGTTCCTGAATTAACTAACTACTCGTTACTTCGCCTGTGTTTGTCTATCCTGTCTGATGAACCTGCGATGGCACCATTTGCCCGTGGCTACTCACACCGCTACTGCAGCGCTTTGCAGCTCCACAACTCCATTCAGAGAACTGATTAGCAGCTTAGGAAGGCGGGTTGAAATCACAATTTAACGGGGCACGTAGAAATTTATATTGCCTCTCGAATGGCCATGTCGACCTGGAAGCCTCTCCTTCTTTGTAACTACTTCAATGAATCATTTGCTTCCAATTTACGTTGGGCGCATCAGGAAAAGATGATAAATCACAAACATCGAGTAATGTGATGTTAACGAAAATGATGATTTTTCGAATGCATGAGTTTTTTTTTGCGAACACATTAGAACCGTCAAGAACACTAAGAAGTGAGGAATCTTTTTTTTCACATTGAATATGTACGTTTTTCAAAACACAACGTAACTAAAAGGTAGAGACAAAATGGGAATCATTAGCAAAAATCGCACAAGTACCAACATGCTCTTGTAATCGTAGTATATATAATCGTTCTAAACTACTATAGTGAGTATTGACATTAACTAAGTAATGCTCTATAATCTAAAAAAACATTACCTGGATTGGTTGAAGGTTTTGTAGGTGCACTGGTTGCATCAGATGTAGATTGAGCCATATCAAAACCCTGAAATAAATAACGCTTGGAAAAAGTAAATAGATTCCACTGTAATGGATATGCACAACTCTAATACAAAATGCGGAAAGACATCTTAGAAACTCTTTCAACAAAAACGATTTCAAAAGAATAAGCAAATCATCTAATTCGACCAATGATTCAATGAATAACCAGAACGACCAGGCTTGCGAGAAAGATATAACAATTCACCTTGACAAGAAACTTCACAAAAAGCTAGGCACTATGAGACAATTAGCAGATCAAACTTTGGTACAAATGGTTTCCAGTTTTTTAAATTATGCAATCACTTTGCAAACGACGAGAAATCACGGAACAACTGCTCGTAAACGTCACGACTAGCGTTCGCAATCATTACGTGTCGTCAACCGGAATTCTTCTCGATACTAGACTCTCCAGTAGAAATCTTGAACAGGAACATGAAGAGTTTGAGTTTCTCCGCGCCCCGGGCGCGATCTTCCGTCTGGGCGCGTCGTTCCATAAGAAACCTTCTTCAGCATTTGTGGGGACGTAAAGATT